TTAGTTTATCACTTTATTGTATGTGTTATTTTCGCAGCGTAAGTTTGATCATTTTATTGTATTTAAAATTAATTCGGATTGTGTTGGTTTACATAGGTCACGGAGGAATCAGATGGGGCACTATGAAGGTGGTTTTAAGAATGGGTTTATCGGATTAAGGTGAGTGTTGTGCTTTAATTTTATTTTAACAATCATTAATCTCAATTATAAGGTCTATTCCGGTACTCAACTGCCTTGTTTGTGACCACAACCCTGACGGACGATGAAACGAATGCAGCCCCGGCAGCAGCAAGCGGTGCACTACCGGTAGCAATCCACAACCTGGCAACCTGGCCCCTGCTCCTCCGCAGTCTTGCAACCCCCAACGACCTCCTCTCCTGTCCCCGCACCACACCCCAGCCCCGCCTCCGGCCCCACCAGTCCACCCTACCCCATCCCATGCGCCACCAGCCCACCCTAGCCACTCTCATTCACACTAGACTCCGCTCGCTCAGCCTACCCCGGACCCCAGCCTCACAGATCCCAGCCACCATCCCACAGCCTCACCCTCAGAACCCAGATCTGGGCCCTCAACCCCCAGCTCATTCCAGTTGCCCCCCAGCCCACAGCTTCCAACCCTAAGTTCCAACCGCACCCCGCCCGTGGCCGCGAGTTCGCCGCTGACGATCTACTCGACGTCGCCGTCGCTACCTCGCCTCAGTCTCTCGCAGCACCGTCGCTCTTCGTTGCTCGCCTCGTCGTCTTCAGATCTGAAGATTTTTGACCGTCCATCAACACCAAGAGACCGACATGAGGAGAAAGAAGAAATAAAGGAATGGTAAGGTTATAACTATACTAAGGGAGGATCAATTATAACTAATTGTTTTGACTTTTTTAAATGGGGATCAAACATTAGATTAATATTTGGTGATAGGTCTATTTGTTATTATTTAAACCATGAGTGATTAAGAATAGCGTAGCGTCAAAACAGTTTGGAACCAGTTTTAAAGAACTATTTGTTAAGATTATTGTATGTTTTCTTTTCTCAGTGTAAGTTTGATTCTTTTATTGTGTGTACTATTATTTCCAATTGTGTTTTGGTTTACATAGGTCTCGGAAGCATATGATGGGCACTATGAAGGTGGTTTTAAGAATGCATTTATCGGATTAAGGTCAGTGTTGTGCTTTAAACTTTTTATAATCATCAAACACAATTTTTTGTGGGTTATGTATTTCGTGTAGCACGAAATTAGTTGTCCTATTTCAGTTTTCAATATTCAAACAAGATAATCAATTATGTTTTCATTTGTTGAACTCGGTAATCACTAAAGTTTAAGCGCTCAATGTGAATGAGTAAGGATGGGCCAGATTCGGGTGATTTTGAAGGCATTTTGTCTACAAATGCTTGTAAAGCTTACTAGTTGTTTATTTTTTGCAGCGTTAACTTGATTATTTGGGACTGTGTTTAATATTATTTTGGGTTATGCTTTCATTGCTTTGGTTTACATAGGTTATGGATGCGTATGATAAGCGCACGGCAGATTGATTTAAGAGTTGTCTTATTGGACTAAAGTGAGTGTTGTGCTTTTCAGTTTTTATTTGTATCATAATTGATCACAGACTTATCGTTAGCATTAGTTATGTGCTTTTCTCATCACAAACTGAGGTGTGCTGTTTTCAGTTAAAGGTGGTTTAATGATAAAGTTATAAATATGATGAGGGAGGCTCAATTATAACTAATTGCTTTGAATTTTTTATAAGGGGATCAAAAATTAAATTAAAATTCGGTGATAGGTGTATTTGAGTTAGTAAAAAGAACCCGAAAAAGTGGTTCCCAAGCCTACATAAACTCTGTGTGAACCAGGTTTATATACGAATGTTTGTTTAGTTTATTTTCGCAGCATAAGTTGGATTATTTTAGTGTGTTTAGAATTATTTCCGATTGTGTTTTTGTTTACATAGGTCACGGAGGCATATGATGGGGGCACTATGAAGGTGGTTTTAGGAATGAGTTTATCGGATTAAGGTGAGCGTCGTGCTTTAATTTTATTTTAACAATCATTAGTCTCAATTATAAGGTCTATTTGAGTTAGCAAAAGGAGCCTGAAAAAGTTGTTCCCTAGCCTGCATAAACTGAGTGATTAAGCATTTTGTAGCATCAAAACAGTTAGAATCCAGTTTCTAAATACAGTGTTTGTTAAGTTTATTGTATATTTGTATGTTTTATTTTCATAGCGTAATTTTGAAATTTTAGTGTGTTTAAAATTAATTCGATTTTTTTTGGATTTCATAGGTGATAGGTCACGGAGGAATCTGATGGGCACTATGTCGGTGGTTTAAAGAATTGGTTTATGATGAGATATCTTCAGTTAAAGGCTGAACACACTATTTTGCCCCTACTAAGCCCAGCACCCCCGCTACAGTGACCAATGCGTCACAGTGACCTAATTGACCAATGCATATCAGTGACCTATGTCAAAGTGACTATATTCCCAGTGACTGATTGCACAGTGACTAGATACCGCAGTTACCAATGCCACAGTTACCAACACTTGGTGTCCCCGTTCTTGTGACATCCCGACTATAGTGACAATCGCCACCAAACCACCCTGATCTCAGTGAGCAACCCGACCCCAGTGACCAACCAAATGTTGACATCCCGCCAATGAGCATGGCCGCCACGCCAATACCCCTAGTGCCCAATCAACCCCGCTGCTGCCCCAGCAGTCCAATCCAGCCCCACTCCTGCCCCACCATAGTGACTTGCCGACCAGTGACCTCACCAGCTAGTGACCACCGCCTGTCACTGTTGCCAATGGCGGCCAGTGAACTATAATTTTGCCGGTAGTCAACTGCCTTGTTTGTGACCACAACCCTGACGGCCGATGAAACAAATGCCGCCCCGGCGGCAGCAGACGGTGCACTGCCGGTTGCCCCGGCGGCAGCATTCTAAATACAATGCTTGTTAAGTTTATTGTATGTTTTATTTTCATTGCGTAATTTTGAAAATTTTAGTGTGTTTAAAATTAATTCGATTTTTTTTTTTGGATTACATAGGTGATAGGACACGGAGGAATCTGATGGGCACTATGTCGGTGGTTTAAAGAATTGGTTTATCTATTTATCTATTTATCTTTTTATGTATTATCTATTAATCTATTAATCTATTATCTATTAATCTACTATCTATTATCTACTATCTATTATCTATTATCTATTATCTATTTAACTATTTAACTATTTATCTATTTATGTATTTATCTATTTCTATTTATGTATTTAACTATGGGAAAATGGAAACTAATAATCCAACCTTTTAGCGGTCTTCTTTCAATAATCCCACTTTTTGATTATTCATGAATAATCCAACCTTTGCACCTCATCTTCATTCACCGGTCCATGACCGGTTGATGACCTGCTATTCCAAGCTATTTTCTTATATTTGCAAATCATTATACCATAAATCTCATCTTTCACAAAGATAATATTTTGCAAAGATAAGAAAATAACTTGGAATACCAGGTCATTAACCGATCAGGGACCAACAAATGAAGATGGGGTGCAAAGGTTGGATTATTCATGAATAATCAAAAAGTGGGATTATTGAAAGAAGACCGCTAAAAGGTTGGATTATTAGTTTCCATTTTGCCTTTAACTATTTAACTCTTTATCTTTTTCTCTATTTATCTATTTATCTTTTTATGTATTATCTATTAATCTATTATTCTATTAACCTATTATCTATTATCTGTTTATCTGTTTATCTATATATCTATATATCTATATATCTATATATCTATATATCTATATATCTATATATTTATTTATCTATTTTCTATTATCTATTATTTGGACCCAGCCACCTTCCTTGGGAGCCACCACCCTCAGCCTCACCTTTAGAACTGGGTTTATCGGATTAAGGTGTTTGTTAGGCTTTAATTTTTTTCATAATCATTAAACACAAATTGGTTTTATCTACAAATGCTTGATAAGCTTATTATGGGTTTATTTTTTGCAGCGTAAGTTTGGTTTTTTGGGAGTGCGTTTAATATTATTTTGGGTTATGCTTTGGTTTATATAGGTTACCGATTCGTATTATGAGCATAGGGTTAAGAGTTGTCTTATTTATCTAAGGTGAGTGTTGTGCTTTATATTTTTATTTGTATCATAATTGATCAGACTTATTGTTAGCATTAGTTATGTACTTATCTCATTACAAAATTAGGTGTGTTATTGTCAGTCAGAGGTGGTTTCATTATAAGGTTATAACTCTAATGAGGGAGGGTTAATTATAAATCATTGCTTTGACTTTTTTAAAAGGGGATCAAACAATGAAGTACTATTTTGTGATAGGCCTATTTGAGTAATTAAAAAGAGCCTGAATAACTGCGTAGTGTCAAAATAGTTAGAAACCAGTTTTCTATACAAATGTTAACTAAGTCTATTGTATGTTTTATTTTCGGAGCGCGAGTTTTATTATTTTAGTGTGTTTGAAATTAATTCCGATTGTGTTTTGGTTTACATAGGTCACCAAATTGGGTGTCCTTTTTTCAGTTTTCAATGTTTGATCAAGATAATCAATTATGTTTTCGATTGTTAAATGGGGTAATCAATAAGGTTTAAGCGCCCAATATAAATAAGGACGGGCTAATGTTGGGTGATCTTGAATCCATTTTATCTAAAAATGCCTGTTAAGCTTATCATTGGTTTAATTTTTGCAGTGTAAGTTTGATTATTTGGGATTGTGTTTAATATTATTGTGGGTTATGCGTTGGTTTATAGGTTGTGGATGTGTGCGATGAGCACAGGGCAGATGAATTTAAGAGTTGTCTTATTGGATAAAGGTGAGTGTTGTGGTTTACATATTTATTCTATCATAATTAGTCACAAACTTATCGCTAGCCAAAGTTATGTACCTTTGCATCATAAAATTAGGTGTGATATCTTCAGTTAAAGGCTGAACACACTATTTTGTCCCTACTAAGCCCAGCACCCCCGCTACAGTGACCAATGTGTCACGGTGATAGGGACCTACCTATTAGAATAATATTAGAAGTAATAATAATAATATTAGTAATAAGGGTCTCTAGTATAAATAGATGTAAAGTGGGAGTAATTGGGAGGCTTTGGACTGTTTAGTCTTGGGACTGGGAAGATTGAGTGTTTGCTCTTTCTTTGGGGGGCTTCGGCTCAGTTTGGGGGCTTCGGCCTTTGTACTTGTTACTGTTCATCATCTCCTTCAATAAAGATTTCTCTTGTTTCTTGATATTAGCTTCTGTAATCTCTGAATAGTTAAAGGTCTCTATCATTGGTATCAGAGCCAGGTTATTTCCTGGAGACCGAGAATCTGAATCATCTGAACCATGGCGGAGGAATTCTACGTGACGCCACAAATGGAAGAAAGAATTGAAAATCTGAATCGAAAGACCAAGGAGATGCAAGTTAATATGGCGACAAATATAGCCGCGATGGAAGCGGCGATGCAAGCTTGCTTCGCAGATTTGCAGAACCGACTTCAAAGTTGTTTGCAGAATCGATCGCACACTTCGCGTAGGTCGCATCGCGACTCTAATCATGGCCACACGCGAAAGTCAGGGAGTCCAGAGGAATTAGAAGAGCGGAGGCATCGCAGACAACCTGGCGACCGAACGAGGAACAGTAAGCCTCATCCGCGATCGCAGACATATTCGCGAACTGATTCTTTGCATCGCTCTTCTCGCTCTTCTCTCTCTTCGCAGAGTTCTGATTATCACTCTTACCATCGCTCTTCGCATCAGAGTGCGCCATATTCGTCTAAAGTCAATTCTCGGAAGTCAGCTAGTTCAAAGAAAGAGGAATTACCTCTATTCTATGAGAATGAAGCCTACGAATGGACAGAGAAGATGGAAAAATATTTCCGAGTTCAAGCTATTGAAGAAAAATTCAAACTGGACGTGGCAGAAGAGGCTATGGGGGAAGCCGCATGTGGTTGGTTTAAATGGTGGTGGGAGTATCAAAAGAGGGAAGATAGTTGGGAGGCTCTAAAGGAAGACCTTATCAAGGATTTTCCACCTAGACACCGGCAGAAGACAGGGATGACAGCAAAACAGGAGTCCTCGAGATCAAGAAGAACTTCCTTCAGTTCGCAAAAGTCATCACAAACATCAACCTTCAGTTCGCAGGCTTCAATAGCTTCTACCAGTTTATTTAAGAAGAAATCCAGATGTGAAGTTTCCATATCGCAATCCGGAATTGTTCCTGTCAAACTGGCATCAACTTGTCTCAATCCACAAAAAGATTCAGAAGGAATGGAAAATGTGGAACCAGCTTTGAACTTATCTCCAAAGGATGTTTTGATTGAAGAAGTAAGTCTTACTCTTGGACTAGAAGACATGACACACCAAGTGAAAAAGATTGATGTCAGGGGAGGGTGTAATTTTGAGGCTTCATCTGGAGGGATCAGAATAGCAGAATTCTTAAACGAGAAGACATTGGGAAAGTTGATGGAACAAAATATTGAAACCAAAGGGAAGGTGAAATTAATACTTAATTTGGAAATGGCCATGTCTTGGTTGGGTGATAGATCTGAATTCTTGCTAGGACATCAACCATGGAAATTTTACTTGGAAAATAACCTTTCTTGTTCCTTAGTTAAGAGAATTGCAGCTGGAAGAGTATATCTGTTAACTTGCAGGTTAAAGCCTTGTAGACCTTCCTTTTCAAAGGAGGTAGGTAAAGAATTAAAAGAGGAAGAAGTTGATAGGTACAAAAAGGAGTTTGCATCCAATACAGTACTAATCTCAGAAGATAGAAACAAGGAGCTGCAGAATAGTAAAGAATTAATTCCTGCTTTGAAAGGCTGGAAGAAGACTGAACCAAATGACATTGTTACCTATGATGTTTTGATATCGAATCCAAATGCTTTGTCTTCTGGCTTGAGTTCTTGGTCCTATTTTCGAAAAGGAAAGGCTACTTATTATTACTCAGGTGGTTGGAATGGTAAGAATGCATACCATGATGGTGGATATTGCTATGTGATGGTGGGCAGTGATCAATGTATCTCAAGAGTTTCATCTCTGAGTTGTTTTATCAAAAAAGGGTTGGGAGTAGGATTGACTGAGAGTGAAATGGCAAAGATTAGAGGAATGCCAGGGGTCTGTTTAATTGCTCCAGATGGGGGTGGAATGGCTGACTACCGGTTTCAGTTGGCTACTATAGATGCTGCAATTTCAAGGAGTGAAGCAACTGAATCTCAAAGATTTGAGTTATATCCTGCTATTAGCAAAAGGAAGAATAAGCAAGGGAGGATGGGTGAAGATCAGTACCAGCATGATCAAAGACACAGGACTAATATTGATGATTGGAAGGAAGAGGAACTATTGCTGTTGTTGCTGGAAGCAGTGAGAAAGAAGATTCAAGTCCTGAAGTTCAGGATCCTGAAATTTGAAAGATATTGGGAAGGGAGAGGAACAAGGAAGAGGAAGAGGAAGCAGAAGATTTTGGCTTTCTCCTATTACCCACCTTGAGGACAAGGTGGATGTTTAGGGGGGAGTATTGATAGGGACCTACCTATTAGAATAATATTAGAAGTAATAATAATAATATTAGTAATAAGGGTCTCTAGTATAAATAGATGTAAAGTGGGAGTAATTGGGAGGCTTTGGACTGTTTAGTCTTGGGACTGGGAAGATTGAGTGTTTGCTCTTTCTTTGGGGGGCTTCGGCTCAGTTTGGGGGCTTCGGCCTTTGTACTTGTTACTGTTCATCATCTCCTTCAATAAAGATTTCTCTTGTTTCTTGATATTAGCTTCTGTAATCTCTGTAATCTCTTGTCTTATTGGATAAAGGTGAGTGTTGTGGTTTACATATTTATTCTATCATAATTAGTCACAAACTTATCGCTAGCCAAAGTTATGTACCTTTGCATCATAAAATTAGGTGTGATATCTTCAGTTAAAGGCTGAACACACTATTTTGTCCCTACTAAGCCCAGCACCCCCGCTACAGTGACCAATGTGTCACGGTGACCTAATTGACCAATGCATATCAGTGACCTATGTCAAAGTGACTATATTCCCGGTGACTGATTACACAGTGACTAGATACCCCAGTTACCAATGCCACAGTTACCAACACTTGGTGTCCCAGTTCTTGTGACATCCCGACTATAGTGAAAAACGCCACCAGACCACCCTGATCTCGGTGAGCAACTCGACCCCAGTGACCAACGCAATATTGACATCCCGCCACTGACCACGGCCGCCACGCCAATATCAATACCCCTAGTTCCCAATCCACTCCGCAGTCTTTCCACCCCCAACGACCGCCTCTCCTGCCCCCGCACCACACCCCAGCCCTGCCTCCTGCCCCACCAGTCCACCGCACCCCATCCCATGTGCCACCAGCCCACCGTAATTTATTGGATTTTTTATTTTCGCAGCGCAAGTTTGATTATTTGGGAGTGTGTTAATATTAATTTGGGTTGTGCTTTGGTTTACAGAGGTTACGTAGGCGTATAATGAGCACAGGGCAGATGGATCTATGAGTTGTCTTATTGGGCTAAGGTGAGTGTTGTACTTTACGTTTTTATTTGTATCATAAATGATCAGATTGATTGTTAGCATTAGTATGTATTTTTCTCATCAAAAAATTAGTTGTGCTATTTTCAGTTAGGTGGTGTGATGCTAAGGTTTTAACTATAATGAGGGAGGCTCAACTATAAAAAATTGCTTTGACTTCTTTAAAACGGGATCAAACATTAAATTAATATTTGGTGATACGTTTAGTTGAGTTAGTAAAAATATCCTGAAAAGGTTGTCCCCAAGTCAACATTTTTTTTATGATCAGTAATCACAAATTTATGTGGGTTATGCATTTCGTGTAGTATGAAATTCGGTGGACTTTGATTTTTGAACTTGGTAATCAATTAAGTTTAAGCGCCCAATATGAATGAGTAAGGATGGGCTAGTCTTGGGAGTTGGGAGGCTTAATTATAAATAATTTCTTTGACTTTTTTCAAATGGGATCAAACATTAAATTTATATTTGGTGGTGGTCTACTTGAGTGAGTAAAAAGAGCCTAAAAATGTTGTTCCCAAGCCTACATAAACTGTGTGTCATTAAGGATTGCGTAGCGTCAAAACTGTTAGAAACAAGATTTATATACCAATGTTTGTTTAGTTTATTGTATGTGTCATATTTGCAGCGTAAGTTTGATTATTTTATTGTATTTAAAATTAATTCGGATTGTGTTGGTTTACATAGGTCACGGAGGAATCAGATGGGGCACCATGAAGGTGGTTTTAAGAATGGGTTTATCGGAGTAAGGTGAGTGTTGTGCTTTAATTTTATTTTTAACAATCATTAATCTCAATTATAAGGTCTATTTGAGTTAGTAAAAGGAGCCCTAAAAAGTTGTTCCCTAGCCTGTATAAACTGAGTGAGTAAGCATTTTGTAGCGTCAATACAGTTAGAATCCAATTTCTGTTCACAAATGTTTGTTAAGTTTATTGTATGCTTTATTTTCCGCAGCGAAATTTTGGTATTTTAATGTGTTTAAAATTAATTCTGATTTTGTTTTGGTTTACATAGGTCACGGAGGAATCTGATGAGCACTATGTAGGTGGTTTAAAGAATTGGTTTATGGGATTAAGGTGAGTGTTGTGCTTTCATTTTTAGTTTTATAATCATTAATCGCAAATTTTTTTTGGGTTATGTATTTTGTGTAGCACGAAATTATATGTCCAATTTTTTAACGGGGTTATCTATCAAGTTAAATCGCGCAATATAAATAAGTTAGGATGGGCTAGTGTCCGGAGATCCTGAACCCATGTTATCTACATATGCTTGATAAGCTTATTATGGGTTTATATTTCGCAGCGTAAGTTTGATTATTTGGGAGTACGTTTCATATTAGTTTTGGGTTATGCTTTGGTTTATATAGGTTACGGATTCGTATTATGAGAACAGTGCAGATGGATTTAAGAGTTGTCTTATTTATCTAAGGTGAGTGTTGTGCTTTATATTTTTATTTGTATCATAATTAATCAGACTTATTCTTAGCATTAGTTATGTACTTTTCTCATTAAAAATTAGGTGTGCTATCCTCAGTCAGAGGTGGTTTCGTTATAAGGTTATAACTCTAATGAGGGAGGGTTAATTATAAATAATTGCTTTGACTTTTTTAAAAGGGAATCAGACATGAAAGTACTATTTAGTGATAGGCCTATTTGAGTAAGTAAAAAGAGGCTGAATAGTTGTTCCGAAGCCTACATGAACTGTGAGTGATTAAGACATGCGTAGTGTCAAAATATTTAGAAACCAGTTTTTATATACAAATGTTTACGAAGTCTATTGTATGTTTTATTTTCGCAGCGTAAGTTTAATTATTTTAGTGTGTTTAAAAATTAGAGGTCCTTTTTTCAGTTTGTAATGTTCAATCAAGTTAATCAATTATGTTTTCGAATTTTTAACGGGGTAATCAGTTAGGTTTAGGCGCACAATATAAATAAGGATGGGCTAGTTTCGGGAGACCTAGAAGTCATTTTATCTACAAATGTTTGTTAAGCTTATTATTGGTTTATTTTTCGCAGCGCAAGTTTGATTCTTTGGGAGTGTGTTTAATATTATTTTGGGTTGTGCTTTGGTTTACGCAGGTTATAGTGGGCACATGGCAGATGGATTTATGAGTTGTCTTATTGGTCTAAGGTGAGTGTTGTACTTTACGATTTCAATTGCATCATAAATGACCACATTGATTGTTAGCATTAGTTATGTATTTTTCTCATCCAAAAATTAGGTGTGCTATTTTCAGTTAGGTGGTTTGATGATAAGGTTTTAACTATAATGAGGGAGGCTCAACTATAAAAAATTGCTTCGACTTCTTTAAAACGGGATCAAACATTAAATTAATATTTGGTGATACGTTTAGTTGAGTTAGTAAAAATATCCTGAAAAGGTCGTCCCCAAGTCAACATTTTTTTATATAATCAGTAATCACAAATTTGTGTGGGTTATGTATTTTGTGTGGCATGAAATTCGGTGGCCTTTGATTTTTGAACTTGGTAATCAATTAAGTTTAAGCGCCCAATATGAATGAGCAAGGATGGGCTAGTCTTGGGAGTTGGGAGGGTTAATTATAAATAATTTCTTTGACTTTTTTGAAATGGGATCAAACATTAAATTAATATTTGGTGGTAGGTCTACTTGAGTGAGTAAAAAGAGCCTAAAAATGTTGTTCCTAAGCCTACATAAACTGTGTGTCATTAAGGATTGTGTAGCGTCAAAACTGTTAGAAACAAGATTTATGTACCAATGTTTGTTTAGTTTATTGTATGTGTTATTTTCGCAGCATAAGTTTTATTATTTTATTGTATTTAAAAATAATTCGGATTGTGTTGGTTTACATAGGTCACGGAGGAATCAGATGGGGCACTATGAAGGTGGTTTTAAGAATGGGTTTATCGGAGTAAGGTGAGTGTTGTGCTTTAATTTTATTTTTAACAATCATTAATCTCAATTATATGGTCTATTTGAGTTAGTAAAAGGAGCCTTAAAAAGTTGTAGCGTCAATACAGTTTTCATTCTTCAAACAAGATAATCCATTAAGCAACACAAACTTTAGTGATTATGAATGTGCTAGTGATCGAAGAGTTTGACACCAGTTTTTATTGGAATATGTTTGTTAAGTTCATTGTGTGGGATATTTTGGCAGCGTAAGTTTGATGTTTTAGGCATGTGTTTCAAATTATTTAGGTTGTGCTTTGTTTGTATAGGTCTTGAACGCGAATGATGAGCGATGTGAAGGTCTATTTAAGAGTGGACTTGTCGGATTTAGGTGTGTGTTGTGGTTTTAGTTTTTATTTTATTATAATTGATAACAGACTTTGTTGTTAATTATGTATATCTCTCATTCAAAAATTAGGTGTGGTTTTGTGGGTTTAAGGTGAATAATTTTCTGTAACTTGTGATTATGTTTTGACCGATGATCTAGATTCATTTAGGTTATTCTACATACCAGAAAAAAGGAATCCTTAAGTTATGTTTATGATCAATTATGTAATAAATTATTAATTTCCAAATGGGAGTGTGCGTATGATGAGCAATGGGAAGCTGGATGTAGGAGTAGGCTTATGAGATTGAGGTGTGTAATGTGCTTTTCATTTTCATTTCTATGACATTTCATAATAACCTGTAATTTATTGTTTATAACTAAAATAAGGCAGACTCATTTACAACCAGTTTCAGAGTTTCTTCCTTCAAACTCGTTTTTTATCATAAGGTTAATAATAATTGCATAAGAACTTATAATTGATTTTTTTAGTTGCAGTGCGCAAGGTAGTCAAATTCGCGAGGCGCACTTAAGGCGCTAGAGTACTTCTATCGCCTGAGGCGCAAGGCGCAAAAAAGCGCTCGCCTTACTCGGGTGAAGCGCACTATTTAGAAAATATTATGTATACTATTCTAGAGTGATCCAATATGACATATTCAACACCATATATTGAACTAAATGCATCAAAAAGTCATGTTTCTAAAAAATAAAGTCATGATTCACCAAAATAATGTCATGATTCACAAAAACAAAACACTGAGTTGGGTCTGTCTTTGTTAATTTTTCAATTTTAGCACTAGGAATAGCATAAATCATGTAGTGTGTGAAACTATTGACTGAGTTATATTATATGAAGTTTTTATACAGTTAAAATATGAAATGATACTAGGAAGATATACAGTTATAGACTGTATAATAAGATGAAATAATATGTTGTTCACATGAAAACTGGTAGGTCAGGTACACATATTATGTTGAGTTGTATAGCATATATTAGAAGCAAAAAGAACCTTAAAGTAGGCATAAATGACTGGAACTAATAAAAGTAAAGAAAGAAGATAGACTGAAAGAACAAAATGAAAGGATCACAAAGAAGATGACAAAATAAATGAAAACTACAAGCTCAAAAAGAAGAAAGAGCATGTGAAGATTATGATGAAGAAGACACCTTATGGATTTTCTGGCTTCTGTGGGTTCGCTGAATGTTTTTCAGCGCTAAGCATGTTGCGCAAGACTTTTCCCACGACTATGAAGGGTTTAATATGGGTTTAAGTTGTGTTTACCTATTATTTGGACGGGCTAAATCTTATTATTAGTATGGGCTTATTATTTAAAATAGGATCAAACAAAAAAAAAATAGGCTAATAAACCTTTCCCAGCCCAGGCGACTAAAGCGTGCGCTTTTCTCGCTTCGGCGCTTCTGCGCTTTATGCGCCTAAGCTGCGCCTGAGACAGGAGAGTGCGCCTGGTCATC